AAACAAGAAAAAATAAAACAAAAAATAAAAAACTAAATTGTTTCTCATCAAATTTCGAACCCTAAAAAACAAAAACGGCTTCATTAAAAAAAAAAAAAAAAAAAAAATTGTATACATTTGCCTCATCATTATTACCACCTTAGCGACTATTTAATATTTTTTACAATTGTACTCCATTCGAAAAAAGCAGCATAAACAAGTAAATATACATGTATGTCAAATAAACGGAAAACAAGTAATTGCAATGAAATTCAAATTTATAATTCAAATTTCAACAGTTTTTTTCTATCCATGGTGGCAACACTGGCCCTGTTGTCAGATATCGCTCGTGCTGGATATCGCATGCATGCGATAACATTAGCGGTTGCTTGCGCAACCATATCGGCATCGGTGCATATGCACTCGATATCGATAGCTGCTTAACTTGTGGTACTTGTAGTTGTTTCGGTAGTATTGTGATTGTGTTCAAAATACAGGGTTTTGTTTTGCCTATTTAATATTACAAAATACAACTCAGAGATAGTTATGCCCACTAAGTTTCGACACGCTAGCAGCTGTTCGTACGCCCGGTGTATGTGCAATGCAAACTCCCCTGGCCAACAGTATTACTTTTAACCTTAGTTGACATTGAAATGTACCCGCTAGAGGCGGAGACAGTGCGTCTGTCTGGCTGCCTGCCTGCCTGGCTGCTTGCTTGCTTGCTTGCTGTCCCATTAGTGTTGTGCTGTGTGCGCTAGAAAAGGAGAGCAAACCTCGTATCGAGATCTGCTACAATTGCAGCGTTGACCCCCTAGTGTTGGCCAACGAGCCCCCAAAAAAAAATTCAGCAAAAAAAAAAAAAAAAATTAAATTCAATATATGGTAAATGAAAATGAGCAGCAGCAACAACAACAAGCCCGCTATTAAAATTCACCTGCGGCAACAAAAACACGCAAGCAAAATAGCGACGTCGCTGCCGTCGTCGTCTGCAAGAGCAGCTGAGGCAGTGGCCGCGGTCCGCGGAGACGCAGCGCTTGAGCTCAGTTTCTTCTGATGGCCGTGTCCCAGTGCTAGTAAATGTGCATTAATCCGATCAAAACAAACGCCAAAGATTGTGAGTGATAGAGAGTGAGAGGCAGCCAGTCAGCGGGGGGGTGGTTTGTATGTGTGCGTGTATGCGTGTGTGAGGGAGTGTGAGTGTGAGTGCATGTAATTAAACATGTGAACGCATTTGTCACCGTTTATTGGACCATGCGTTGTGTAATCATTTATAAGCGCAGAACTAAGGAAAAAATGTTAATTCTATTTTATTTGATTTGATTTTTTGTTGTTTTTTTTTATGTTTTTTGTTCTGTTTAAATCGATTTGTTGTAGCTGGCATTCGTTATTAATTAAATCAGCAGCCGCAGTGGCAGCCGTAACAACAGCTGAGTGCGACCGAGCCAACGAGTGGGAATGAGAGGGCAACAACAGCAGCACCAGCAGCAGAAGCCCACATTTGACTTATACAGCCAACAACCACATCAACGACAACGACAACAACAACAGCAACAACAATTGCTACTGCTACTGCTTCTTATACAAAGTCAGCACCAGCCAGAGCTGCAAAACACCGGCACAACAGCTATACTCTCAGACGGCGCAGCAGCGACGCCAACGCCACCGATTTGTTGGTAATTAAAAGTGAAGAAGAGAAAAGGCAGCGACGCAGTCGCCAGCAGCAGCAGCAGCAGTAGCAGCAGCGGACATTCATTCGCAAGTTGTCGGCACATAACGGAACAGATTCAATTCGTGCACTGATCGCATCGCATCGCGTCGATTCGTTTATAAAAATAGCAACACACCAAAGAGCGAGAGAGCAAGAGTGAGAGAGCGAGAACGAGAGCGAGCGCGCACACCAAAGAGAACAGGAGGAAGATTCAGTAGGAGAACTTGAGATTGAACGGTGCGGGGGATTATTGGGGAATTGAAATCGTTCGCTAATAACCCAAGTGCGGATTTGGATTACAATCAACAACAACAACGACTGCGGCAACAACAACGATAAAAAGAAGTAAAGTGCTGCCACAGCGTCGTCGGAGAACGTCGCCAAAATTTCACTCGATCTAATGGCCAAAGACGAGGAGGATGATCTGCTGCCCGACAAGGATGCGGCCAAGGGCTTCTACGCCAAATATGAGCCCAAAGAAATACTGGGCAGGTAAGCTAATAAGTATAAGAGTCGTAAACTGACGAAAACATAAACAGAAAGTCTTATACGCTGACTTATACTATTTCATGTTGAGCGCGAAGCAAAGCTTTCTGACTTATGCAAAACATTGAAGAATGCAAACAATGCTGCAATTGTGCAGTACAGTGATCACTCGCTAATGTTAACTGATGTTTTCTACTTGAAATCAGCTAGGAAATGCTGGTTACTCATTTTGAGTTTAAGCTAGAGGCTTTAGTTTAAATTCATAATACATTTCATTTATCGGTTTCTCTTATCAAATATCCATTCAAGATATATGTAGGTCTGTATATATATACATATTGATTAATATTAACATTTATGTATACACATTTAGTTGAAAGAGATAAAGAAAACGTAGCGCAACCAATGTAAGAACTATAAGTATTAAATTTTATATTTATATAATACTGAATATCAGTCAAAGAATAATTCAAGAATATACACTCTCGAAACTCATCATCGTGATACGAATTAATTTAATAGTTCTTTACGTGATAGATTGATTGAYTATCGCAAAACACCTTAAATCAGCTTAGGTTTGTGTCTAGTCTAGATACTATCAATTCTAAGGAGCTGTGATTCGGACCATATAGTATTTCATTTTGAACGATTTGTAGATTGAATGGTTAGTTCTCAAAACTGATTGACTAGCTCAAAACATCACCTAGCCTAATAAGCTTCAGTTTTAGTAGTAGTTCCAAACAAGTATCTGTGATTCGAAACATCTGACTTGTGTTTCTTCAATTACCTATAGATTAAATGACAGTTCTCAGAACTGTCACAAACATAATCATTTAAGATCCAGTTACATTTTGATTTGTTTAGTTTAAAGCTTATGTGACTCAATTGAGTATTGAGTGATTGGTTGACAAAATCTTTTTTACGTTTTGATCTAGTTTCAGTTTATTTTTTCGCTAAGCATAAATGATTCGAGTCGAAACTAATTCTAATAATTCTCAAATACTAATTCTTGCTTCCACTTCGCTCTCAGTTAAGACTGTTCTAATAACACTTTGTGATTCCATTCCGGTTCGTTTCCTTAAGGATCTCTACATAGAGCATTCGGCGTCTCGACCTGAATCTATAGTTAAATTTCATTATTTATTTACTTCTTGCAATTGTTGCTTGTTCTTCCTGTTTCTGTTGACATTGCAGAATTCTAAACTTTGTTTATTTCATTATAAATGTTTTTGCATTGCTATTTTTTTTTTTCACTTTTTATTGAATTTTTTTTTTTTATGAGCTGTTGAGCTATGACTCAAAGCTATATGGCCTGTTCCATTGGGTGCCAGTGAGAACATGACGCTACGTGTGAACTGTCGCGTAATGCTCCAAAAAATGCATGGGAATCGAACGAGCTAGGAACTAAAAAACAAAGTTGAAATGAGGTCAAATCGAAAAAGAGAAAGAAAAACAGTCGAAGACGGCTAATAAATCCAACTTTCTTTTAGGATAGCTCTACAAATATCACCTTGAGTTGAACTTGAAATGAGTTTGCAGTTTATATCTTCTGTAGTCTATCCTCCTCCTCCTCCCTTCAGACACAGGTGCTGGATAGATTATATAGTCTATCTTTTCTCTATATGTGCATCTGCCCCCTTTCTCTCTTCCATCTGTTTACAAGAATTACAAGACTCATCGGCTGGATAAACATTTCGTAAAGCTCTTATCTAATTCAGATAGTCCAAATCTTTATACAGTGTGCATTCCGATCAAGACTGCAAAATGACTTTAGAATGCGTGATCTGAAGCTGTGTTTGTTCTTTAATAACTAGGCCCAATGTAGTTAAAGTAACTTTATAGGATTCTATGTGTATATCTTACTAATACTTTCAATATATAAACTCATCCTCATAGGGGCATCAGTTCGACGGTGCGTCGCTGCATTGAGAAGGAGACGGGCAAAGAGTTTGCAGCGAAAATCATCGATCTGGGCGCCACGACGGAATCGGGCGAAACGAATCCATATCATATGCTCGAAGCAACCAGGCAGGAAATCTCAATCTTACGCCAAGTGATGGGGCATCCCTACATAAGTAACTATACCAGAATATCTATATAAATATAGCTCTACGAGTTCTAACCCTCTCTCTCTCTCTTTCTCTCTCTGTCGCTCTGTCTTGCAGTTGATTTGCAGGATGTATTTGAATCGGATGCATTTGTATTTCTCGTCTTCGAGCTGTGCCCCAAGGGCGAACTGTTCGACTATCTGACATCGGTGGTGACGCTCTCCGAAAAGAAGACACGCACCATCATGCGGCAGATATTCGAGGGCGTCGAGTATATACACGCCAAGAACATCGTACATCGAGATCTGAAGCCCGAGAACATATTGCTCGACGAGAATCACAACGTGAAGATCACAGACTTTGGATTCGCCCGGCAGCTGGGCGAGGGCGAGAAACTTACAGGTGAAGCAGCAGCAGCACTAGAAGAAGAAGAAGAAGAAGAAGAAGAAGTGAATGAGTTAAAGGCTGAGAA